AAACTTTGCAAGTATTTCTATTTTCGTTGATAGTACAGTGGTTCAGTGTTGTTGGCCTGATCTGATGGTAAGGCCAGAAGGTGGATAGGTGGAACTCTTCAACGGCTAATAGTAGATACTTTGAGTTTGGGCTTATTTTGTTTGATTTGACAAGCCTAATACGTTAGAATCCTTACTATGCTACTACTGTCTACACTAAAAAGGGAAAAATAAAAACTTTTTAACAAAAAAATAAAAACCGACTTCAAACAAAAGCACTAAAAAGTAAAAAATAACTGATACTGAATGAACTGATGGTAGTTTTCATTTACTATACATACCTAATCAAATATTTTCGAAGTCGGTGTGCTTTGGCTAAGTAATTAAAGCCTACCTATTAAATACATACCTAATCAAATATTTTCGAAATCGGTGCTAGCCCATACAAAGCAAAGCACACCGACTTCGAAAATATTTGATTAGGTATGTATAGTAAATGAAAACTACCATCAGTTCATTCAGTATCAGTTATTTTTTACTTTTTAGTGCTTTTGTTTGAAGTCGGTTTTTATTTTTTTGTTAAAAAGTTTTTATTAATAGTCTAACCTCGTAAATAGTAAAAAAAATGCAGAATCAAGGTTGAAATAAGTATTTTTAAGTGATATCGACATATGTTTTTTGAAAAAGAAATTATGTGTAGTATATTAATTAGTATAGTCATAGTACACAAGCCGATACACAAGCCGATCTATATTGGGATGTTACTGTAAGCACAATCGCAGCGCGACGCAATAACTAGACATATGAACAAAGTTTCATACATAGCCTTTCATATTATATTTATTTTAGACTTACCGATATCACAATCTTGAATTGAGCAAATATATAGCAGAGATTAGGATTATCTAAATCATTAATTATATTAGCTAATTACAATTTTATACACGTAAAAAAGTTTGTTTTTAGTTATTTCATTGTTTATATAAACATACCAGCTTTTAGCTAACACACGTGGGGGTTCGGTCACGTCTGAAACTAAGTAGTGTACATTGGTACTGGGGGAAAGCTATTTATTTTTGGGTTTGTTCAACTCATCGAAATAAAACTAAGTGATGTTTTTAAAGTTGGTCGGAACGCTGAAATCTATGGGTTTAAAAAAGACTGCAACAATTTACTATAATGGAAAAAAACTAAATAAAATATGAAAAGAATGACAATACATTAAATGTTTGAAATATTTATTAACATGTAATAAATACTTTGAATAGCAATATTTCAGAACAAATAACCTTCTAGATATTACACATACGTATTCCTCATCTTAAATTCTGATGAATTTGTATCAATTCCAATCAATGTAAGAGATCAGTGTGGAAGAGTCTAAAAAAAGTAGTTTATTCAAAGAAAGCTGAATTCAAAGTATTTTAACATCAAGTCAAAGTAAATTAATTTGCCTCTCTTCGTTGCTGCAAACGAAAAATTTACAACACAAAAAAATAAATTCTGCTAATATTGAACGGCGAGCGATTGAATGTTGCTATGGTAAATAAACCAAACAGGGTAAGCAATCAACAAATAGTACATATTTAAAAAAATATTTTCGATCATCCCCATATTTAATATCTATCCACACATATATATATATATAGTCAAGCAAATAAAATAGAATTAACACTTCCAAGTAAATTTCTAAGAAATTAATTAAAATTCTAAGAAATCTATTGTTAACTGACACGCCGGCGTGTCAGCGGTCGTGGAGGGACTAATATATCTCAGGACGCAGTCATAACTAATGAAAGATAATACTGTAAAATAAGCAATACATATAAAGATTATTCAATAATAATTTTCTTTAGTATCTGCCATTTGCCTTATGGGCATTCGATTTCTGGGAACTGACTGTCTGAGGATCATATAAAAATACAAAAGTACACGTTTGAAGAAGAATTACTACCTACATATTATAAAGTTCTTTTATAGGTACAATTTATTTTTAAACTCTTGAAAGCGAAATATAAGTTTGTATGAAAATATTAAATATAATACTATAATTTGATGGAAATATAGATTAATACCACATAATAATATTAAATTTGCGTCCTCAACAAATTTAATTTACAAATAAATATATTCAAATCGCATTAAAACTGCCGCTATAATAAGTATCTCATTAATCATCATTGAAATCCATTTAATTTTGACTTGAAAATCAAAATTTATATCGGATAATAGCAAAAGTTAAATAAAAACTTTACTCACTTCGGTACAAGGAACTAATTCAATAAAAAACGACAATAAAAGTCTTCAACAAGACAAGGCTAAATATGACAAGTGCAATTTCTTTTCCATTTTTCACATAACGACGCCTACTTTGGACACAAAGCTTATTTTATAGCGCCACAATGCGATTGTACTCTTCATCCATGGGCTTTTATAGTCGTCGCGTCAGCTGTGGAATGTCGAATTTGAGACAGCTAGAATAGCGTAAAATTTGTCTGTGAAAATTTTATAAACTTCCACTCTTTTACATTGTTTCATTCAATATAATATAATTATCTTCGAATATAAAATATACAGGAATAGCTCGTTTTAAATTGGCTTTACGCCACAAGCCATCTATTGAACTTTGTACTGTTTCGGGAAAATATCTTATGTTACTTTCGGTTGTTTATGTTTCTATTTTAAGGTTTTGGCAATACAACTCTCTAGGCATTGAGCATACATATTGTAATATTCACACGAAATGCATACTGTTATGCTGCTTCAATGAACGGGTTTTAATTGGTTCGTACAATCGTTATGATCCTATGAACCTTGTTTAATTATTGAGAATGATCTGAATTGTTTTGTTTGTTACATTATTTATACTGGAGATCTATAAATATGAATGTTATAAATATACCTTAATAGCTTTCGGCATCGTTGACACGCAATACGCTCATCTTCAAAATCTGATATATACTTGGTATTGGTATTTTACTGTGTACAAATATGATAAAATTATGCACTTGCATTGTCAATCTTATATTAAACAACAACTTAAAAAAAACGGACTTCCATGCACTAAAATGTAAAAAATAACTAAACGGAGGTTTTCATTTAGAATAGATACCTAATCAGATATTTTCGAAATCGGTACCAGCCGACGCAAAGCAAATCGAATATATTTCGATACGTAAAATACATATTTATTATTTATAGATATTCATATCTTAAAATATTGTAGGCTGGCACCGACCGTTAGTTATTTTTTACATTTTAGTGCATGGAAGTCTATTTTTTTTAAGTTTTTAATTTTTCCATTTTTAGTGTAGACGTAATAAGCAGGTAATTTGTAAGAAGAAAGTTTTTAATAACATACATATTCTAACATACATATTATTAGATTTTTTAAAAAACCTCTCGACCGATTTCGATAAAATTTATATGGGACCACCTGGAAAATATACACTTTGAAACAAAAAAAACCCAAATCGGTTCAAGCGTCTTCGAGTAATCGGTGAACATCAACATCGGTGAATTGAGAACCTCGTCCTTTCTGGAAGTCGATTAAAAAGCGGATCTACGTTATGTTAATGCACATATAAGTACTTAGGTATCTACATAATATATTTTCAAACAACACTAACTGTTTCACATCAACAGAAAGAGCATTTAAATGAAATTAACATTTCTTATTTATAGTTCTTTGAATGAAACCTTTATTATCTATTCTTATAAATACCTGTTGTAGTTTATAGCTATGTTATTACGATTACTAAGTACGGATATAAAAATTAGCATAGACAATACCCACTTAGCACATAGAAGACGTATGTATGTCTTTTCATTAGAAACTCGATCCAGTATCACTTACAGGCACCTCTCGCATATTGATCGTTTATTATGTGAGTGATGTCAGAAAGTTTTAGTGTTACTAACATTACTATGTCCTTTGGCCTTCCATTACACAAATGACAAACTTCTACGTAATGATTATGGAAAAAAATATTTAAAATATCATTAAATCACATAAAAATAATATTTTATTTTTTACCTTTATAAATGCTTCATGGTCAAAGTTAAATGTTTATAGCTGTCATAATATTTTAGTAGGCAGTAAATTACTTCATAGACAATCGTATTCTTTTATATCAAATACTAAAAAACCACATTATAAATTGCTTTGCATAATAGTAAGTATAATTTTATTTACTTTTCAACATAATATATTATGATATACGTAGATGCATTTTGATATTTCTTTACACATCTATACTAATATTATAAAGGGGTAACCGGTAAAGTTTGTGAGTTTGTGACGTTGTAGGGAGTAATCTCTGGATCTACTGACCGATTTAGATGAAACTTGGTAAGAAGATATTTTGAGACCCTGGGAAGGACATAGGATACTTTTTGTCCCGCAAATTATCCCTTAAGGGGGTGAAAACGGGGATGAAACTTTGTACTGGGATGCAAGCTAGGGACGAACCCGAGCGAAGTGAGTGTGAATAGCTAGTACCTGATATAGACATACATATAATATCTTCTATAAATGATAGAAAATGCTTATTTTAAAAAAAATATATGAATGTACGCTTTGTAAAAAATTCAAAAGTAAAACAAAATTAGGTCTTTTTATATTGAAAGGAAAATACTTTCTCCTACAATTATTAAGATCACTTGTTTTTAAAAACTTGAAGAATATGCCGTCATCACAAAAGTGGCGTGACATTGACTATCTTATCTATTATATCTTCATCTACTATACAGTTTTATAAGTAAACATGATATACATTCTAAAAACTTAAGTCAGCATGTATAGATACGTAATAAACCTGTTTTCGAGCATTTAAATATAGCTGGATTGTTAAAGAACAATATTGTTATTTTCACTCCAATTTATATAGGTTTTAATTGAATAATTACAGATCATGTTCATATTATAACATTTCAAGGTAAAATATTGACTCATTACCTATTTATTGAATTGAAACTCTATTATAATATAATAATATAAGCAAACAAAATATTATACTCACTTGCAGATTCGATTCCAGTTGTATTTGATGCTAACACAGCAATAGATTTAACGTAGAACACACAAAATAATATCAACCACCACATATTGGCACAATATTTGGGGGCTGCCCGTCGACAGCCCACCAAAATGAACATGTCCTTAAAATTCTCAGTTAAACACAAATAAGCACTGCGTTTTCCGTATTATGTCACGTTTGCACTTATTTACAGTTAATGTCACCGTTGAAATAGATGTGAGAGTAATATTTTGGATGATTGGTTGGTTTACGAGAGAGGTTTGAGGTTATTCGTACGTGCTATGGTGCGAGCGCGATGGCGAATGTTGGGTCGTTTTGTGTCGGCAGGTGTGCGAGGGCGCCGGCCGACAGATGGCGGTGTGACGTGGTTTAGTTTCGGGCTTCGGCGACCGAACCGTGGCGCTGCGCTGCTGATTCTAGCTAGAGATTTTTCCCAACGCATCGCGCGAACGACACGTAATAATCGGCTGTGTTCACATGTATGGATAATTTTTACTTTAATAGCTACAGCACAACTGTTGTATTGAAAAGCATCGTTCCACTGATGTTAATCTCGTTGTTGAAATATTTTAAAAATGAAATTTGTATGTGGTTCAATAAGTTTAGAAATTAAAATGTTAAAATGTTAATAGCTGAACGCGACTAAAGAAGTTTTCACTTCAAAAATTCAAAGCATATTTCAGGTTTGTTTAAAATAAGGAAGTCCAAAAGTATTTTCGCACGTAAATAATAATTTGTATTTTAACCTTAACATTACAATGCTTACATAAATAAAATAAATTTCTCTCAAACAATATCTATATAGCCCAACCTTTATGCAGGGAAAGAATGCGCGCGCATCTTCTCAGTCTGCGAAGAAGACGCTGCGGGGGGCGTGGTTCGGCCGTTACGCACGACCACCACGCAACCGAAAGATAAGAGACGGCTACCCGGCCAACTTGTAAACACGTCACCCCTAATCGGGAGCCACGCATAAATAAAACTTTCAAAATTATCAGCGTTTACATGAATAGATTTGCAAGCCATAAAAATTTAGTCATACCGAAGAGCAAAAATTATATTGGGTATTATCTATATGAATTTATAAATATATTGATAAATTCAAATAGAGTATATTTTAGGATAAGGTGTAGGTGTCTTTAAATTTTGGAAGCTTCTTAGATTGTGACTATTGAACCCTTTTTACTAAAACGAAAGGGTTTGGATGTATCCCGACTGATCCTGATTGCTTAATAAAACATGCCAGGTAGCGTGCGTCGGTTGGGAATCAGTGAACGTGATTGCGTCGACATTTTTATCCCTGCCGATTCATTTGAGTGCTCTCTTTAAACAAGAGAACAAAATTATACCTTTGAAACCTTCTGAATTTGTATGAGTTTTTAATAGCTCAAGTATATATACTGAATCCTTTGATATTAAGGTTAGTTAAAGAGCTCGCTTTGTATGAAAATAAAAATTATATCTAATAAAATTTATATACTGAATTAAACTCAAGTAGGTACTTCTGTAGGTAGTGGTATTCAACGTTTTTTAGATAATCTTTACTACCTGTCAATTTCAGTTCTACTATTTTTAAAATATGTTATCTAAATATTACTTCTAACTACCCATATTTATCCTCTTACTATCTTACTAATATTATAAATGTGAAAGTTTAGACGTTTGGATGGATGTTCGTTACTCAATCACGCTAGAACGGCTGAGCGGATTTGGATGAAATTTGGCGGAGAAATAGATTATAGTCTGAAACAGCACATTGGTTACTTTTTATACCGGAAAAATGTACGGTTCCCGTGGGATAGATTTGTTTTTGTTTTTCTAGAGGCGAAACCGAGCGAAGCTCGCTTCCCTTTGTTTCGCCTCTCGTCTTTCGTATAATACTACTAGCGGCTCACCCTCGGGTAAGCCGTTAGTAGGTAGACTAGGTGGAAAACTTTGCAGGTGAAACAATATTTATCGTATGTCAAAATAAAATAAAAACAGTCGAGCGAAGTTCGGACAGGCCGAGGTCGCAATTTATGAATATATTACTGTATCGCTGAAATCCCTTTATAGGAATTTGAATTTTGAAATCGTCCGCCCAAAACGAAAGCTATGTTAGATACTTAACAGAAGTGACTACCGTAAAGGTTAGCGAAGTCGCGAAAGACGGCTAATAGAGGTATCAAAAAGGCTGAGAACGTAATGGGTCGTATGAAATACAGGGTGTTCTACAAAAGTAACGGGAAAGTTCTTTTAAAAAGCCGTTGAATTGTAACAGGAAACTATAGGATTTAAGGGTCGGCCTTCTTCACACACGCTGTATAACAAAAATATGGGACAGCCTCGGGCCTCTTTGTATTCTTAGCTGGCCTCGATCGTCACGCATTATATAAGTTACAAAATTTATAGTCCTCGGACTATTAATATTGTATCATTTATTTAATGGATGAATGATTTTTTGAGAAAGTATGGTACCTATCGAAATATTTATTTTTACGCAATTTTTTATTATTATTAGTTAGTGAAATAGAACATTTTTTAATAGAAATGACGAGTTATTTCAATAAAAAAATATGTAGTTTCAGGATGCTTCAAACTATCTTTCATGATCAACTCTGCATTCTAACTTAAGTTATAATTAGAACTTTTTTACGTTTAATTTTTAATGTAAAATATTTTTATGTGAATAATTTTTCTTTTCATATCATTTTTTTGAATAGAATATTTTTATTTAATGTCATTTTTAGGTCTTCCACCCAGTCCTATCCAATAACACTTTTACGTTCATAATTACATATTTAAAAAAAGTATCAAATAATTAATAAACTAGCTTGAAGCAAAAATTTGACCTTTTCATTTTCCTACTTTAGAGTATAATCGAAAGGACAATAAAAGCATAACAAGAACAAATAAGGGAGTTGAAAAAATTATCGTCAATGTACCTATAACATAATCGGACGTTTTTACTATAGTATGAACTACCTATACGTAAATTTTATATGCATGACTACTGTACAATGTAACATATAGTAGTAATATAGTTAAAATAAAATATAAGCAAAACAAAAGTGCTCCTTTGTTAAGTACACTGTAAAAATTTTAGGTTTCTAATACTACCTAACAATTAATATGTAGGTACTATTTTGAATAATATTTTTTAATTTTATAAGAATATGTTATTTTCATTAAGTACACGTGTGCACATTATTGGCTATTTTACAACATAGTGCTGCATTGCCATTCTTTGCTATGTATGGACTGAACAATAGCACTAAACCACTAGCCTATAAATTAAATGGTTCGACGCTAGAATATACGCTTAAGAATTTCTTATAAGATGCAATTTTGCTCTTTTTCAATATTGAAAGCTTAATAAAATGATTGTAATTCTTCCTCTGAGCTGCTGTTATTATATGTAAAGGTACTTATTGCACGTATGTTTACTCATATCTATGTTACAGAAATATCTTATAGATAAGGGATCTTTTGAGATTAAGTTTTACCCATTAAAACCGATCCAGTGAGTTTAATATGTTAGACATTTTAAAATCTACAATAAGACTTTGCATTTAAATTTATAAATATAACTATGAATATAATATTTGTTATTCTTAGAAATGTTTAATAATCATAATATTTCTACATCATATATTCAACTTTGAAGCTTTAGTATCATTAAACATATTTTACATCGTTCAACAACTTTTAACAACTCTTTTCAAAAAGTTTAGATGTTAAAAACAGAAGTAGAAATACGCTAAAAAGTTTTCATTTATTTTTTTAATTTCTTAACTTTGAGATCATCTATATTCAAGCGTTATTGAATTCAGATTCATGCCTCAGGCTCCCAGGAATAAATAAGCGAATTTAGAGGAATACAATTTGAATAATCTTAGAAATAGCTTTATATCGTTGTATGTGATGTCTGGCTTTATCTATAGGTACCTACATATAATAAAATTCTGACTAAACCGAATCTGTACATTAGATATTTTTTGGAAAATCTTATTGTAACAAACATTATTATCGATACAGAGGCCGAAACTATAGTTTTTAGAATTTTTGTCTGCCTGTCTATCTGTCTGTCTGTTACCGCATCACAGAAAAAATCACTGGAGGGATTTTGATGAAATTTGGTATGGGGATAGCTGGTTATCCGGATCAACATATAGGATACTTTTTACCGCGGGAAAATATTTCATTTCTGAGAAAAAATACAAAAACTGTAAAGTCAGAGTATACTAATCTGTAAAACCTAAGAATTTGGAGCCGCGGGCAATGCTAGTTTATTATATTTTGATAGGTATATACACTAAATATATAAAAACTAAATAATAACTAAGAAAAAAATATTAATATCATTCCGCATTTTAAGTGGAATTTTCATAAATAGAAAAACATTAAATATATTAAATGAAAATGATTATAGCTGAAAATATATTTTTAGTTTTGGAAATTTAACAGCCTTATCGCAAAGCAACAGTTTTTTCTACTCTACGTTTCGTACGTTTTGCTCTTGGGAAATCAAAGCCAGTACTCGAGTGTTCCGTAACTATTCTTTAAAAATTAACCTCAGTCTAGCCACTAAGGTAATGTTTTTTAACTTACGAGTACCTGTTTTGAGCTTAAACTGGGTCGTGTCGTCTTTGGAGATGTATATTTTTAAACAAAGTTTCTTAAACCTGTTAATGTATCAGAATTTACTACTTTAAATATAAATTTTTGCTTGCATCCTTATTATTTGGTAAATTAATGCCTTATTTAGGTAAATTAATGTTTGATTATAACTTTTACTAGAGTCTTACCATCAGTTTACTACTTGATCACTACAAGCAGCGCTGCCTTTTGGCAAAAATAATTACTAATAGTAGTCTATGTGTTACAGTAGGTCATGCAGCTTCAAGCCCATAAACGCGCGGACGGTGTATAACAGGTTGTTCCTGGTATTTGTCTGATAGCAGAGTGGATCGAGCGAGCAACCCTTTATTGTTGTGGTCTTCCTCAGTACACCAGCCATCGGGGCATAATGTTTGAATTGATGTAAGAAATCCTGCGATGTCCAATCAAGGCGGACAAGGTTTGGTTGGTTTGAAAGATGAAGGGAAGCAGTGGGTTAGTAGTGAGTCTCCAAATAACCATGGGTATAGTCGTACAAGTGCCAGGTAGTATAAGTAGATGCATTTCCTAACGTCCCGAAGGCCTCCATAAAATCTAACACCTTAGTTTGTTTTTTCTATTCAAAAATATATCACATTTCATTATTATTATACACGTTTATTATTTTAGCAACGTTATATTTCAAAACTTTAACAAATCTATAGAATTATTTTATTGGGTTCAAAACTTGTAAAATTTAATATCACCGAAATTAATGTCGTAAGTTTTTACTTTGAAAAAACTTGCGAAGTCAAAGTTGTTCTTAGCTAAGTTATCAAAAACTACGTAGATTTAATATTAATTCAACAGTCGTAAAAAGCTCGCTACAATTTTTGTAAGAAATATAATATTTTTCATATTATACATAAAGTGAAAGAAAATGAAACTCATATTTTTAGTTAGGTTTTCCGCAGTCGGGTTTTTATTTTTGTATTTTTTTTTATTTATAATCTTTTAGTTTCAAATAGTTAGAAAATTGTAGTTTTATGTTACAATTTGTAATCCCAAAATACATATTTTTAAGCATCGCCTATTTATAAATAATAAACAAAACATTAAATAATTTTTTATCGGTTTTCCTATTTAAATTTTAGTTCTTTGAGTAGGTATATATTTATATAATATATATATATATATATATATATATATATTTATTGAAATATGCATTTTTTTACACTTTTGTATATGTTTTAAATAATCGTCATTTTCTAAAAATAGAGGCTTTTAATTAATACTTCAACATTAAGATTAATCCAAGTTTTATACAACGTTGAAAACACTTAACAAAGTTTCTTCGAATAAATATAAATGAACTTTACAAATCTAGTAAATAGG